ACGATAATCCAATAGCCCACAGACCAAAAACGACCGTACAAGGAGGTGGAGTGGAATTGACAAACAAAATTACACAATAGGACAACGAAAAACACGTCGACCTACCAAGTTGACGTAGGATCGTCGACAGAACACCACAGATCGATAACATGGTAGAAGGAGGATGATTGTAGCCTGAAGTACGCGCACAGCAACAAGCCAGTGGGAAACATTTTCTTTAAAAAACAAGCCTAGTGTTTGTGATTCATCGACTTCTTCTACATCTCCATTTTACTTCCATTTATTGAATGCATAATGGTAATAGTAATGAAGAGGGGAAGCGGCCAATCAAAGTGCTGCCATACAATGCTCAATGGGTCAGGCGGTATTGGGGAGGATACCATTCTGTGCAACACACGCATACGTGGTAAACCATTCCTCAGATTTTAATGTTATTCTCCCCACACCCAAGTGTAATCTTTTAATATAAAGTGTAACGGCATGATTATGTATTATTGAAAACCATTTTTCGCCTGAAATCATGTTCCATGCACGAGTTTGGGCGCATTTCGAAATTTTGCAAAACACGGTGGGGCCGTGTTGAGGTTTGTGTCCCCATTCGATGTAGAAATAACACAACTCCACATGATGATAAAGGAAATATTTCAGCATAAAAAGCAGCTAGGAACAAGGAACAAGAGAGGGGTGAAAAATGTTGTATTCCCACCACGGTGGATTCAACAATGTCAACGAGTGCTGTGGACGAATAGTGTCTCTTTTGTCTGAGAAGTTAGCAATGCAAAAAGACCTATGGCTTCAATAAAAAACGGTTACCGTGATGAATGCACGTGCTAGTAGCGTGGATACTATCGAAATTTGTACCATCAAATGATGCATTGATTTTCTGCCCGGGATTTGAAACATAAAAGGAGTTGGTTGTATACCGACGATAACAACAATACCGCATGTGGGGCGAGGGCATTAAAAATGGATTCCTTTCTGTGAAAGTAAATAGCTGATAAAAGTTTGCTTCCTGCCTTATTTTGAACGGGATAGGCATTATTAACCTCGTAAGCGCTATTATGAAATTAAATACACTGAATTGCATCAAATTCAGTGTTATGCTATGAACTTCCATCTCACGAGTGAACACCTCTACAGAGCAAAACATTCGGTAATCGCTCTAGAGAGTGATTGCCAGATAAGTAACGATCGGGGTGTTAAATATTCAACAAGCCCCTTATCGGAATTTCGTGTTGTGATATCAGTCATCAATCCGAAATTTCCTAGAGTACACTCTGTTAGAGCGGAGCTTAGACAATCCGCCAGGTCGCGCACGTCTCTGAGTCAAGCCACACGCACGCTCGCAACACCCCGGGCAGGCTGAGTCCGAATGGGGTAATTGCAGTACGAGTCAATCAGTGTTTGCCCGATCAATCAATCGATATATCAAGGACGTAATCTGATTGGTGCTTCACTGTACCGTTCTCGTATGCGTGATTTATTCTACATATTTGCGTATCGAACTCTATTCGAAAAAATGCTCGCTGACTGTTGTCTCTTGATGTGTTCTCTCTTGCGTTGTTGTTGGGGCTTGAGCAAGAGTCTGGACCGAACACAAAACACCCTCAAGGGAGAGATAACCACAAACAAACCATCCCGAGTTTACCACATGATGACCCATGTCCCAGGTTGTGAACCCAATAAATCAGTTTAAAACATCGAGTGCTGACAATCTGAACAGACGAGGCAAAGGAACAACGAGTGTATAACACATCGTAGTGAGAAACATTTCTTGGCATTGGAGCTGCAGTACCGTTAGATTTCGCCTAGCAAACGGATTTCTATTTCATCCAACTGCGTCGGAAGTGGAACTGCAGAGCAACAGTGGAGGCAAACTATTTGTAGAAAACTGGAAGTTCTCTCCTTTCCTGGAAGAAGACCGCGCCACTTCTGTTCTTATTTATCGGTGATATTGTGATGGAAGGCAGTTCAAAGAGAGTCCTGGCTAGCGACCGAAGCAAGAATGGGGCCCATCCGACCAGACGCACAGACGCAGCGGCGGGAAGTGCCTCGCGAGACAATGTTGACTGCCACCCGAAACGAGTGAATCCACAATTACAGCCCGAAAGACAACCCGCAGCTAACGGGAAAGATACCCACCGAATNGAAGAAGAGCCAACGTACGTGCCAAGTGCGGACCAAGACCAACAACGAATGATCCACAGAAAGAGGCATGAATCATTCCGCCGCGCGGTCCAGAATTGACTGTATATAATCAAACGTAGACACTGTTTGTTTTTTGAATTGGATCAATAGACGTTTTCCCAAACAGCTCGCCTTCTCGTTACAATATGAGCCTTTGTTCAACAATGTGTTCTCCCTTATACTTCTTTACTGCTCCCCTGCGATTTCTGCTGGTTTTTTGAAGGCTAATTTGAGAATGCCGAGGTGTGGCCTCTCAATGACTAGTCGTGTTTACCAAGTTCACTTGCCTGTTCTGATTACACTATCTGTGATGCTCATATAGATGCGTGTTTGAAGTCTACTGACAGCACCAATCTTTTACACACGGACTTGTGTGCATGTAAATCCCACCACTCCACCCGTTCCATAGAAAAGTTCATCTCATCTCAAAGAAACATTCTGGTACCCGGATACCGACCGACACGAAGAGTGTTCTTTATGTGCTCTCTAATGCATTTTTTCACACTCCATGTCCCACTCTTTTTCCTTTTTATACCAGTGTTGTAATGGTGGTCTCTTTTTAGATGAAAGTTAGTACGTAACTCGCTGACGCTTCCATACACAATAGGACCGTGTACAGAAGGTATTATCTGTGGACTTCATGTGAACTATGTATCGATCAAGTGGATACTAAGCATTGCTTCCCTATCTATGGGATTTAGGGTTCAATTCTCTGTCAAATTGATCAATTCAACAAGCCTAGAGGAATTTACCAACTTTATTCCATGACTAATCATTAACCGCATCCATTTTGCATCGTTATCTCACGTATTTTTGATTGATCTAAAGAAGTATTGAAAAGGGTATCACTTTGACTTTCCCCTCGTTGCGGCAAACGCAAATATTCGTTTAAGGATCTGGCAACTGACAAGCAAAAGCAAGCATCTGTGATTCAAAACTGTTTCCTTTGCACACCCAGAAATGTTTTAGACATGAGTTGTTGTTTTCTCTGCTAATTTTGGCGTAATCATCTTATCCGCACAATGGATGAGAAGAATTCCGTTCATTTCACACGGCACTCATCAGTTCGAGAACAAGAGCAGCAGCAGCAGCAGTGAAAGAGGAATAAAAAAGGTCCAGGAGGGATGAATAGACAGTGAGACGTGTTGTTTGATCATCTGTTGATATGCGTCAGGTGTGTGTGTGTGTGTGTTTAGGGGATGGGTAGAAGAGCAATGAAATTTGTAAAAATGAAGATAACTGGCACACCGCTATGCCAATGTCCGCGTGCGGGAAAGACGGGTTGAGAGATTGAAAGGCCAGTACAACCTGACACGGATTCTATAAAAATTGTCCCTAATTTGCAACAATCTAGGATGAAAATGACCGGGAACGCCGAGAGACAAAAATAGTAGTAGAGCGAAAATTGGCTCTCGGTATAGAAAAACAAACAGTCTATATTCCAGGGATACGGGACGGGAGTGGGTGGGGTGGGGGTAGATGGACGATTTGGTGGTTGAAGATACACGGTAACTGCATCTCTGATAATGATGATGCGTTTTTGGATATGTCAGCAGAGGCTATCTGTTGCCTCGAGGTTTTTCTGTATCTCTCTCTCTCTCTCTATATATATATGTATGTATAAAAAACTCGATAACTGTCAGAGATGAAATCTGCTTCCAGGAATCAATCATATTTTCAGTAGTTCCGAACAGATTTGTGAAACTGTAGTAGTAGTCTCTACCAAGGTCGTACAAAAAAGAAAAGAAAAACTGAGATGTGGAAAGCGTAATGATCTGCATCAATGTATGTGCGTACTTGTCTACCGAGAGCGTGGCATATACAATGACCAAAATGTTTAATTCAATCACACAATATTGTTGTCCAGACACAGAAAACGAGGGAATGATTCCAATCTCCCGGCTGTCTGTTCACAACCATCTTATTTGTATTTCTTTATCAGACGAAGTTGCATGTAGCAAAGAATGTAAAACACAACGGTAATCACCGATTGACCGAGAACATTCAGCCACAAGTCCCACACAGTACTGTACGGAATATCTTGATCGTACAAGTATTGTGCTCCCGATTCACTAAAATAGAATAAGGTAAAGTGGTTACGTAATAATGCAATGTTGCTGAGCGAAACATTGTATCAACGAAACACAATCATCTGGATGAAATAGATGCCGGACATTTCTTAAAATAATGGGAGATCAGAGAAGAAGTTGAGAGAATGCATCCATTTAAAGACAGTGAGATGCAAATATTTCTGATAATCGACGGCTGTTTCGTCTTGTTTGGGACTCGTCAGCAGTGCGTACTTTTTGTGTCCCTGTCAGGACTCGAACCGCGAACATTCCGGTTGGGGCTTCAAACCATTGTCCCTGAGCTACACGGTTGACAGTTATCACCTAGTGCGAATGGCTCAAATGAACATTTCCATCGCATACAAACAGTGGGGAATTAACGATCTCCCAAAGAGTGAAACCCACACCCGAAACCAGCAAGAGTGCCTGGTGCCTCTTAACAATCGAATGGGCTAATCCAAGCTTGTTACTCTAAAACAGTGAGATGTGTTTAGATACTACCAGTGCGTTCGGCTGAATGACAAGCACGCGCGTGGTGCGTAAATCTCACATTGCGACGAAGGCACAGGAAGATTCCACAAACTAATAGATCAGTTCAGTCTAATTCAACAAATCACGATGGTGCGGAACTACCGGACGCGTCAATCCATAACTCTATGATCCTTCTTCGAAGATCTCTCATCATAAGTCGTGTTGGTAAGCGGATCGTGTTCATAGTAAAAACGCCAACTGATCTGATTTGGGTCCATCCAGGCACCGTGCTAATTTTCAAAACTATGTTATTATTAGTTGTTCGACTCAATTCGTTTCGGAAGCAAGGAGATGAGAGCAAGCTTACCAATTCCAATCGCCTGTATTCACCGTGAGTTGTAAGAAAGATATGCAAACGGACATATATGTTCCATTGCACCTGTTCGCCAAGCTTGGCGATTTGTTTGCAAACGTTTCATCACCAGCCGAGGTGACATCATCACAAGCACTGATGATGTCACCTCGGCTGGTGATGAAACGTTTGTAAACAAACTGCCAAGCTCGGCGAACAGGTGAAATGGAATTCAGTTCACCTGATCTACGAGAACCAATTTCGACATTTTGTCAACATATATCTTCCTTGAATTCCACAAATTACACTAAACGGACCCCACCCAGCATGCGTTACATTCACACTACACTTGCTGCCGTGATTGTGGTAGGGTATCCATGTTGTGAATTACAAAATAAATACACATAGGGACCCAAGAAGCACAACAAAAGAAAAAAGAGCAACATGAATGTTATTTAAGTGCTAAAACATGATTAGAAGTCACTTGTTTTCAATGTGGAATCCAATTTCAATTGCGTATTCAAAGGATTCCCTTTACGAATTGGTCATGCGCGAGGATTCCCGTTTGTTATGTGCATTTCTCTGTTACTATTTTCACAAATGCCATCAGATACAAACCAAATTCCAGAACAGTAGTCGTAGGACAAAATGCGATGCCGATGTAGTTTCGCTTTGCGCTTACGGCAGTGTTTGGTTCAGCAAAGTCGCTTTAGACACTGATATTTCCGAACCCGAACCATATGCGCCTGAGGCACTTCACTGGTTTGAGGTCACTAGCACAAGTACCGGTATCTTTGTGATGTAGGACGCGTATTTCACGGAGTCCGTGTATTGAGAAACGCTATCCGCACGTTTTTGTTGTGATGAACAGTAAAAGTGTGGTGTTTCAGACGGTCACATTTTGGTTACCGTACAGAGCTGCACGTTGTGGAAAATTTGTCACAGAACATTTTAAAAATTGTTTGCTATTATGCTGTCTAGAAAATACTATTTCTTCATTCCCGATATCGCTCCATAATAGTGGCACTAACGAGGCATGATACTTTTGTAAACGAACTGCTTCACCCTTCCACCGTTTTGTATGTGGTGTAACGCAGATCAATTTTTCGGATGTGGTTTGGTATATTCTGTGCCTTAGTCTTTCGGGTAAAACGTTCAGGCGTCCACGTTAAAAGTCACCAAAATTTACTATAGTGAGTGGTATCCTTTGGATAGGGTTTTCATGATGAACGGTCAGTTATTTTGGAGGCAACTTTGTGTGCAAATCAAATTTGAGAGATCATTATCACACTATCTCATCAGGAATGATTATTCAAGCACTTAAGAAAAGTTAGGGACCGGGTCATGCGATATTTAATCCGCACCGGATGCACTTCAAGCCTCTGTCTTCAGCAAGGCATGAAAAAATCACCAAGTAGGTGTTGTTGGTGGTGGGGTCACGAAATACAATGATTGAAATAAAGCACAACGGGTCACATAGAAACACAATATCATGTTCCGATCGGAACAGATCTTATTGAATAAATCGTAAGTCACGCGCATAGACCCGAATAGAAATGTCTGGATTGGACGCGACGAGAAAAACAAATCGACTTTCGGTGACGACGTTTACAAACGCAGTTTATTCTCTCCGTAAGAGACAAAACAATAGGGTTGTTGAAGATCGATAAAGGCAACCTAGTATTTGATGTCTCACTATGGAATTCCACGAAAATGAGCTCAAGCAGTCCAGTATAAGAGGTTGTTTGGAGAATCGAAACTGAAACTGGGTAAATCAGTATGGTTACAGTTGAATCCCAAAAGAAACCGTGGTTTACTCAGAATTCACAAAAACGGATGCTTCCTGATAACCCACAATGGATCATACAAACAAACCGAACTATACTATTCGAAACACATTACAAGCATTTTCTAGCTCCGTCAAAACTAGGATGAAAGTAACATTAAAAATTCAAACCATTTTATCGATCAACTTGGACCAATTAAACTATATCATTCTGAATGCCTTGTAAGAACGGATATAACAAGTATACACACCGAAGAATGCCTCACACACACCCATCAAACGGAATCTACCTGTGCAACAACCACGCTGGATGTAAAAATAATCACTATTATCGCGTATGACGATGCCTTATAACAACCAACTGATGGAATTGAAATAGGTTCCTCAATCTGAACCACTGTAGCAAACATCTCTATGGCAAGTCCTGAAGGGGAAACCCTAAGTGCTATGCCAACACCTCAAATCTGATGGAGATAAATGGATGATATGCTCGTAGTGATTGATTGAGATGGAGTTTAAAGAACTTTTCACAAATTTCATCAACCTCTTTTTACAAGAGCATCAAGTTTGCAATAGAAAAGCAGGAAAAAAGAATTAGCTTCTTAGGTTTGCTATCGACTTCATCAGCACGACTTCCGTGGCTGAATACACACATCACTTAGTGCGAATGTATAACACAATGCAGTGAAGATGATATTAGGAAACAAGCTATGCTGATTGTCGACCGGATTAGTAAGGATCAATTATCCCGATCCGCGGAATCCAAGATTAGGAAAAGGTAAACAAAGCGTTCGATGACATGCCTATTCATACACACAGCAGCCATTTTTAATGGAGATATGCCACAAGTAACTGCCACTTGGAGTACCATGGTGCTACGATCTTCTGAAAGGAAATTGGAGTAATCCTCAAGTCATAGTGAGTTTTCCCGTGTTTTTAGGGGGATACAAATTATCCTCAAGCTGAACTTTTAATCCAGATGACTTGTCTAAAACCGAATGAGATAGTCTCTATGGCGATAAACGAACCATTTAAATAAGCAAGGAATCAGTGGAGCATCGAACGAAATACGTGAGATTGCGCATTCACAAATACCGTTCAAATCACCATCAGAGTAAGGAAGGTCAACTAACCATTGACGTGTGTCTGTTTGGGTGGCTGTAGATGTGTTGGTGATCGGGCAGAATAGCAGGGGTTTCATTTCCATCACCATGAGCCCACCGAGGCTATACCGAAAAATAGATACGTAACGTAGCCAACTCAACCAGGCCCCCATGGACTTCAAGTTGATCAGGTATCCACCGAAAACCTGGAAACAAAATCACTACGAGATCTTCAGATGAAAATGAATGAAAATTGTTGCTATGGTGAATTAGCCCTATAAGAAAAGCTCAGATACATAATGCTCATCACCACCACCTGCAACACAACCACTTACCATCATAAACACATAGATGATCGAGACAAGCACGTTAGCTATTCCGAACAGTGTGAAACTCGCCGAAATGAACAAAGCGATTCCGGCAGCGGCCAATGTGGTCAGACTGAGGATGAGCTCGAAGAAGAAGAATGCACCCGCGTCCGCACGCAATCCAGACATCCAATAACAAATAGGCATGAACAGAATAACCGGGAGGACTTTGGTCGGGACTATATCACACAGGATTTTTGAAAAGAAATAAACTGATACACGATAGTAACCACTGGAGTTCTCATGTCTGAAAATGAAGAGGAAAGGCAACGAGAAGATTGGATTAATCCGTATCTCAAAATATTCTATTCAAACTATCCGATGAGTGAGCTACATTCCTCATTCAGTGGTTCACGTGAGCAGTGAGGTTTTCACAGAATTTGTCTCCCGATTATCATACCTTCTCAAACCACCTGCCTGATTTGATCTAACCTATGGTTTTCAAACTTTTCTGCTTGGAAAAGTCTTATAAATAATGCAATTCTTCAGATGCAACTGAACTGTGGATAAAATATTCATCCCAGTGTTGCACACTATAACAGTGAAGGTAAACACCTCAGAAAGTTCACACTCGTAGGTTTTGTTCACCTGTTTGTTGGACACAGTTACAATGGTGTGTTTGCAACGGAATGAAAGCATGTGAAACTGATAACCATTGCTAATTCTGTTCACGTGTGCCTTCCGATACTGTAACGGAATTTCGCCGAAGATCAAAATTTGAACAGTGGTGTCTATGAAGCAATGGACAAGAATCAAAATCGGTATGATTTCGACACCTTTATGCGTTATTGCGGTTCTCGAATCAAATAACTGAGCACAAACAATATCATTTT